GATTCTATCTAATGAAGAAGAAAATTTTGAAAATTGTCGATTAGCAAAGCATTTATTACGAAGGGTGAAAGACTTGCATTACATAGAAGGCGGAGAAATGGATGATTTGAAATTATCATCAAATGTAGAAAGTGTTGATTTTATAAATCTTATAGGTAAAGGAACTTATGGAGAAGTGCATAAATCAAAGTGGTTTGGCCTTTTGTGTGCAATTAAAAAGATGAACAATGTGCATATGAAATCTTTTATAAAAGAAGCAAGCATCTTAGCAAGTCTAAATCATCCCAACTTGATATCATATTATTTTGCAATGAGAAGTATTACATATGAATATAATGGAAGTTCTTCTGTTGAAATGAAGAATGATGATGTATATTTGGGAATGGAATTGATGCAAACAAGTCTAAGGGTTATGGTAGAAACAATTAGAGAGGCATCTTACATATTTTTAATTGATATCATGTATCAAATTGCAAGAGGGATGTGTTACTTGCATGACATGCACATTGCACATCGTGATTTGAAGCCTGATAACATTTTGGTTAATGTTGTGGAAAGAAAAGTGATGAACAAGATTGTTCGACATGCTATTATAAAAGTGATTGATTTTGGAATATCTAAGATTGAAGTTGGTAGCAATCCAAAAGCAATAGAGAAAAAATTTATGTATGGTAGTACACCATATGCAGCTCCAGAGGTATTGAAGAACAAATATGAAACAATGACAATGTGCCCTTTTGATGCAGATGTATTTTCATTTGCAATGGTGTGTTGCAAGATTCTTTCCAAAAGAGATCCATTTGATCATTGTAGGAGGAATGAGATATTAGAAAGAATAGAAAGAGGTGAGAGACCCAAATTACCTTCAAACTGTAATGAATTGGTGGATCTTATCAAAGAGTGTTGGAACTTAAATCCATTACATCGACCCAAGTTTGCAAACATTTGTGAAAGATTTGTAATGTTGAAGAAAAAGATTATGGGTGGAGTTGTGGCAAATACACTATACTATGGTACATTAAAGGATAATAGTCATGAAAATATTGAATTACAACAAACACCTATCAAAGTGCTTATTCCAAAATCACTTCTATTGAGGAAGGTAAGAATATGTTATAGTGATTTGATTGTTTGGAGTTTTTATTTATATAAAAATTTTATGATGTGGTAATGGTTAGTTGTGGTGAAAAGAGTGCTAGTTTGAAGATCTAGATCAAAATGTAATGTATGCTCTATGTGTATTTATTTTATTCTTTGTGTTGGTGCTTAATTTAATTTCTTATTATAGGTTGATATAGTTGAGGAAGAAGTGCTTGGTAGAAAGCAATGCTTATTGCAAATATCAAACTTGTGTGCAAGCAAAGTGAAGGCATTGTGTCTTATTGGAATGGGTGGAATAGGCAAGACCACAATAGCAAAGACAACATTGACAAATGTGAAGCACATGTATGATGCTTCATGCTTTGTTGAGTGTGATGAAAGTGGTAATGATTGTTACAAAAGCTCTTGCCACATCTTAGAACAATTGAAAGTTAAAGAAAAACCGAAGGATTTGAAAGAAGCACAAGAAATGCTGAAGTTGGTTTTGACCAAAAAGAGAGTCATCATAGTCTTTGACAATGTCACAAACCAAAGTCAAATTGAAGCTGTTGTGCCTATAGATGATATATTTGCTATGAGTGGCAACACATTGATTGTGACAACTCGAGATTGGAAAGTTATAGAATATAGTGATATTAAACTTTGTAAAGTAAATATTGAAGAACTTGATGAAGAAACAAGTTTGAGGTTGTTTATCACTCATTCTTGTGGGCATGAAGGCAAATTGTCTAGTGAACTTGTTGAAGTTGGCAAAAAGATTGTGAAAGCATGTAATGGCCTACCATTGAGTTTGAAGGTTATGGGTGCATATTTAAGAGATAAAAAGAGGTTGAGGTGTTGGGAGCGATCTTTTCAAAGATTGAAGAGGGGAAGACAATTAGATGGAGATGAAAAGAATAGTGACCATAAGATTTGGGATATATTGAGAGTAAGCTTTGATAACTTGAGAGTTGAAGAGAAGAGAATGTTTTTGGATATATGTTGTTTTTTTAACAATGATGTGTTTCCACAAGGCATTTTGAAAGAAAGAGCATTGCGAATATGGTCCAACATAGAAGAAAAGAGAATGGAAGATGTGGAATATACATTAATTACATTAGTTAACCAATCATTGATAAAGATCTATAATCATGGAGTTATTGGAGTGCATGATCAACTACGAGACATGGGTAGAAAGATTGTTGAAACAGAAACAGAGTATAAGAATACCCGAATATGGAACACAAATGATGCGACATTGGATGGAATTAGTGAAAAGGTAATAGACTTGACCATCATCCAAATGGCATGTATGGAATTAATAATGATGTATAATAGTGAAGATTTGAAGATTGGAGATTTTATAGAATTATATCATTTAGGTATTAATATGTACTAAAAATTCATGTTGATGAAATTTTTTTGGTTGATTTATTTAGTTTGTATAGTATTGAAATTTGTATATGTGTGAAGTTAACTTCTAAATGTAATAAATCTAATTTTGTGGTGTGTTTGATTTATGTTATATCATAGTTGAAGGGATTGTGTTGCAACAATATAAACAACAAGAAGTTAAGTAAAATAAGAAGTACATGCTTTTCATCACTTCGATTGTTAATCTATACTAATGGTGATTTTACATTAAGAAATAATTTGAGAAGATTCTTGAAGTTGACAAGACATTTAGTCAATTTAAAATGTTTTCTTGTATTTTGTCCAAGATTAATTTCATTGCCTAAGGAATTGGGCAATCTCATGTCTTTGACCACCTTAAATATGAATGACTGCACAAGCTTGACATCATTACCAAAGGAATTGGGCAACCTCATGTCCTTGACTACATTGGATATGTATAGATGTTCAAGCTTAACATCATTACCAAAGGAATTAGGCAACCTCATGTCCTTGACTACATTGGATATGTATAGATGTTCAAGCTTAACATCATTGCCAAAGGAATTGGGAAACCTCACATCTTTGACTACCTTAAATATGGATCTATGCTATAGCTTGACATCATTGCCATCTGAATTGGGCAACCTTAAAAATTTGACTACATTAAATATGGAATATTGCGAAAGCTTGACATCCTTGCCAAAAGAATTTAGCAACCTCACATCTTTGATTACCTTTAATATAAGATATTCTTATAATTTGACATCATTGCCAAAGGAATTAGGCAACCTCACATCTTTGACTTCCTTAAATATGGAAGGGTGTTATGAGTTGACATCATTGCCAAATGAATTGGGCAACCTCACATCTTTGACTACATTAAATATGAAAGGGTGCGAAAAATTGACATCATTACCAAATGAATTGGGTAACCTCACATCTTTGACTACCTTAAATATGAATGGATGCTTAAGCTTGACATCATTGCCAAATGAATTGGGCAACCTCACATCTTTGACTACATTAAATATGAAAGGGTGCAAAAAATTGACATCATTACCAAATGAATTGGGTAAGCTCACATCTTTGACTACCTTAAATATGAATGGATGCTTAAGCTTGACATCATTGCCAAATGAATTGGGCAACCTCACATCTTTGACCACGTTAAATATAAGAGAGTGCAAAAAATTGACATCATTACCAAATGAATTGGGCAATCTCACATCTTTGACTATCTTTGATGTATCAAATTGTAATAGCTTGACATCATTGCCAAATAAATTGGGCAACCTCAAATCTTTGACTACCTTAAATATAAAAAGGTGTTCAACCTTGACATCATTGCCAAATAAATTGGGCAATCTCACATCTTTGACTACCTTAAATATGAAAAGATGCAAAAGATTGTCATCATTGCAGAAAGAATTTGGCAACATAACATCTTTAATTACCTTAAATATGGCATATTGCAAAAACTTCTCATCATTGCCAAATGAATTGGGCAACCTCACATCTTTGACTTGGTTAAATATGGAGTGGTCCAAAAGCTTGACATCATTGCCAAAAGAATTGAGTAATCTCATATTTTTGACTACCTTCAAAATAAATGGATGCATAAGCTTGACATCATTGCCAAATGAATTGGGAAACCTCACATCTTTGACTACCTTAAATATGAATTGTTGTGAAAGCTTGACATCATTACCAAAAGAATTGGGAAACCTCACATCTTTGACCACCTTAGATCTGAGTCAGTGCTCAAGCTTGACATCATTACCAAATGAATTGGGCAACCTCTCATCTTTGACTACCTTAGATATGGGGTGGTGCTCAAGCCTGACATCATTGCCAAAGGAATTGGGCAACCTCATATCTTTGACTACCTTAAACATAAGTGGATGTGGTAGCTTGACATCATTGCCAAAGGAATTGGGCAACCTCATATCTTTGACTACCTTAAACATAAGTGGATGTGGTAGCTTGACATCATTGCCAAATGAATTGGGCAACCTTACATCTTTGACTACCTTAAATATGAATGAATGCAGAAGCTTGACATTATTGCCAAAAAACTTTGGCAATCTCACATCTTTGACTACCTTACATATGAATGGATGCATAAGCTTGAAATCATTGCCAAATGAATTGGGTAACCTCACATATTTGATTACCTTAAATATAAATGGATGCTTAAGCTTGCCATCATTGCCAAATGAATTTGGCAATCTCACATCTTTGACTACTTTATATATAAGTGAGTGCTCAAGCTTGATGTCATTGCCAAATGAATTTGGCAACCTCATATCTTTGACTACCTTGTATATGCAATCGTGTAAAAGCTTGTCATCATTACCAAATGAATTTGGCAACCTTACATCTTTGACTACTTTATATATAAGTGGATTCTCAAGCTTGATATCATTGCCAAATGAATTAAGCAACCTCATATCTTTAACTATTTTATATATAAATGAGTGCTCAAGCTTGATATCATTGCCAAAGGAATTGGGCAACCTCACATCTTTGACTATCCTAAACATGAATGGATGTACAAGCTTGACATCATTGCCAAAAGAATTAGGCAACCTCATATCTTTGACTACCTTAAATATACAGTGGTGCAAAAGCTTGATATCATTGCCAAATGAATTAGGCAACCTCACATCTTTGACCACCTTAAAAATGGAGTGCTGCAAAGGCTTGACATCATTACCAAATGAATTGGGAAACCTCACATCTTTGACTTCCTTAAATATGACTGGATGCTTAAGCTTAACTTCATTACCAAGAGAATTGGGTAACTTTACATTATTGACTATCTTAGATATGAATGGATGCATAAGCTTGATATCATTGCCAAAGGAATTAGGCAACCTCACATCTTTGACTACCTTAAATATGGAGTGGTGCAAAAGCTTGACATCATTGCCAATTGAATTGGGCAACCTCACATCTTTGACTACCTTAAATATGAATGGATGCACAAGCTTGAAATCATTGCCAAATGAATTGGGTAACCTCACATATTTGACTACCTTAAATATGAATGGATGCTCAAGCTTGACATCATTGCCAAATGAATTGGGCAACCTCACATCTTTGACTACCTTAAATATGAATGGATGCACAAGCTTGAAATCATTGCCAAATGAATTGGGTAACCTCACATATTTGACTACCTTAAATATGAATGGATGCTCAAGCTTGACATCATTGCCAAATGAATTGGGCAACCTCATATCTTTGACTACCTTAAATATACAGTGGTGCAAAAGCTTGATATCATTGCCAAATGAATTAGGCAACCTCACATCTTTGACCACTTTAAAAATGGAGTGCTGCAAAGGCTTGACATCATTACCAAATGAATTGGGAAACCTCACATCTTTGACTTCCTTAAATATGACTGGATGCTTAAGCTTAACTTCATTACCAAGGGAATTGGGTAACTTTACATTATTGACTATCTTAGATATGAATGGATGCATAAGCTTGATATCATTGCCAAAGGAATTAGGCAACCTCACATCTTTGAGTACCTTAAATATGGAGTGGTGCAAAAGCTTGACATCATTGCCAATTGAATTGGGCAACCTCACATCTTTGACTACCTTAAATATGAATGGATGCACAAGCTTGAAATCATTGCCAAATGAATTGGGTAACCTCACATATTTGACTACCTTAAATATGAATGGATGCTCAAGCTTGACATCATTGCCAAATGAATTAGGCAACCTCACATCTTTGACTACCTTAAATATGGAATGGTGCGAAGGCTTGACATCATTGCCAAATGAATTGGGCAACATCACATCTTTGACTACCTTAAATATGAATGGATGCACAAGCTTGAATTCATTGCCAAATGAATTGGGTAACCTTACATATTTTACTACCTTAAATTTGAATGGATGCTGAAGCTTGATATCATTGCCAAATGAATTGGGCAACCTCACATCTTTGACTCCTTTAAATACAAATGGATGCATAAGTTTGACATCATTGCCAATTAAATTGGGCTACATGGCATCTTTGACTTAATTTGATATAGGAAGATACTCAAGCTTGATATCATTATCAAAAAGAATGATCAATGCATTCTTAGAAAGATACCTTTTAAAACGAGTCTTAAATCAATACATAATACACTTATAAGTTAGTAAAAAATATAAAATTAGGTCTAGATAAGATATTTACATAGACTAGAAGATTATTGTAAGTACCTATATAAAATATCTAATTTGTTTAGTTTATAAAATAAACGATAAGTTTATGATTTGAAACTTATAATTTATAAGTTAGAATTATGTAGGTATTTCTAGTTTCTTGACACCTTTATTGTTTAATTTTAATGGAATGTATCTTCTCATTTTTGAGGTTAGTAATTCTAATAGTATAAATAATTTGTCATACAAGATCATAGTTTTAAAGATAGAGTTGCTTTGACTTTAATTTTAGGATTTTGACATTTGACATGGTAGATTTAGAAATTTGGAATTTAGGATTATGTAGATGTAGTTAATTTTATTGATATCTTTATTCTAAAATTTTGACTTGACTTATTGTGAGTCCTACTATTATTGAATATCTTTGATATGTATAATTACTTAAGCTTGATATTATTATCAAAAAAATTGATTAATCTCACATCTTTGATTAAAAATAATTCTTCAAGTTATGTTAAAACCATTAAATGAGATGGTTCTATATTATCTATAAAATTTATGTTTTAAAAATACTTAACTACATTATATTTAATTTTTTTTAACATAAATAAATATGTCATACTTCATTTAGTAGATTAGCATGAATTGTCATAGATATATATACTTATACTAGTAAGTATTAAACTAGTCTAAAAAGACGTGAATAGAAATTTATATATAAAATCGTAGTTACATATTAAATATCAAATTAAAAAAATTAGAATAGAATTTTATTTTAGTTGTAAATAAAAATAAAGATATTTTGGATTATAAATAAAATATATTTATGTTAATTTTAACAAGTTCATGTCAAGGATATGAATCTCAAAAAAAAAAAAAAAATCCTTAATACCTTCTTCTGATTTGAAAAAAAAACTAAAAAGTCACACAAAGTTGATATAGTATTGAGTTAGAATAGCTATTGCCAAAAAATTCAAAGATTGGTCTTAAAATAAGACTAAGGACTAAAAAAAAATTGATTCTATATATACTCTTAATTAGGAGCTATGTGACAATGTCCTATAAAACCTCCAAAATGTGTTGACTTTGTAAAATACATATCTTAACATGCAAGGCAAGTTTTCTATATGTACACCATATAATTAGTTTGTTTTGCAAGCTATCAACACATTAGTTAGTAGAAGATATTAGGGACATAGTCCTTAGAATCTTTTAGAGACTAGTTTCTAGAACCTTCTAGAAATAAGTCTCTAGAACCTTCTAGAAGCTTCCTAGTTAGTAGAAGTTGCTTGAGAAGCTTCCTAAATAGGAATATATATTGGAATCGAGGCTGAAGAGTTCTTCAGTCTCGACAACACATATCTTGGAGCTCTAGCTCACCTCTCTGGTGTTGTTCTTGTATTCATCTGATTAATCTAGTTCTTGCCAATTCTTCTTGAACTTCTTGTTAGATCTCGAGTCTGTATTTCTGTATCCGTGATAGTAGCTCCCCTCTTTGGTGTTGTTCTTGTATTCATCTGATTAATCTAGTTCTTGCCAGTTCTTCTTGAACTTCTTGTTAGATCTCGAGTCTGTATTTCTTTGTCCATGACAGTTTGTCGAGACTTCACTCACCTCAGATATCAGAGCTAGTTTCTTCCTAGTTAGAGTATAGATTACCCCTTTGATTGGAAGTATACTAGCATTTTAGAGGTTGCAGATTACCCTCCTCTAAACTGATACTTCTTTTGTTACAATATTGGAGTCTTATTCTTCTTGGAGAGAGTGGATTATCCTTTTTTTGAAGCTGCTAAGGTATTTTAGAGGTTGCGGAGTACCCTCCTCTAAACCAATATTGTCTTCTTGTAGAGTCATTTCTGTCCTTCTCTTAGAATGACCGGAGGCCAAGACATTAGTATGACAAAAAATTCGGAGTCCAAGTTGGATGCTATCATGAATGCCCTCACTATGTTATCGCAAAGAATTGTAGAGATTGAAGGAGCCGTGGCAAGACTTCATAATGATGGAGCATCTGGGATGGCACAATCTAGGTTGCACCAACCTCAAACTTCTACACTTGGAGAATCAACTTTACCTCAAGTTCGAGAAGCACCACTGGTACTATAACATAAAGAGCCCAGAGTTAGCGTTTCGGACAAGTTTGATAGTATCTATTCCAAGTTTTGAGGATTCGTCAACCAAATCAGATTGATAATAGTTTTACAGCCCAAATGCTATCCAATGGAAGAGTCATGTGTTAGGCTTGTTGGAACCTTACTTACAGGGCAAGCTCTATCATGGTTTGCTCGTTTGTTTGAGAAACGATTGTCCATACTAAATAACTTTGAAACCTTTTTGGAGGCGTTTGCGGAGCATTTGGTAAACACAACAAGGTTCGATGGGCTACAACAAAGATCTGATCACTATGACAAGGGATGCGCTCTACATCAGTCTATGCATCGGACTTCAAGTAATTAGCATGCGACATCAATTGGGACAAAGAAGCGTTGATGAGTCAATTCTATTGGGATTTAAAGGACGATGTGAAGGATTTGCTGTTAGCTCTTTCTGATCCGCAAACGCTCAACAAAGCTATTAGCCAAGCTGTGAAGTGCGATAACCGCCTATTCTAATGCCGCTAAGATCAACGTTCAAGACAACATACGGTTCGCCATGCCCCAACTATGTCGGCAAGTAGCGTGAATTCACATTTAGAAGTAGAAGATATAGAAATTAATGTGGTATGTATCAAATTCTTTACTCTAGAAGAAAAAAAGCGGCATATGGAAGAAGGTCTATGCTTGTATTGTAGTGAAGAAGGCCACAA